CACATGAACATCACTCCACTTACCATGATGCAACCACATGCACATGAACATCACTCCACTTACCATGATGCAACCACATGCACATGAACATCACTCCACTTACCATGATGCAACCACATGCACATGAACATCACTCCACTTACCATGATGCAACCACATGCACATGAACATCACTCCACTTACCATGATGCAACCACATGCACATGAACATCACTCCACTTACCATGATGCAACCACATGCACATGAACATCACTCCACTTACCATGATGCAACCACATGCACATGAACATCACTCCACTTACCATGATGCAACCACATGCACATGAACATCACTCCACTTACCATGATGCAACCACATGCACATGAACATCACTCCACTAACCATGATGCAACCACATGCACATGAACAGCACTCCACTAACCATGATGCAACCACATGCACATGAACATCACTCCACTAACCATGATGCAACCACATGCACATGAACATCACTCCACTTACCATGATGCAACTACATGCACATGAACATCACTCCACTTACCATGATGCAACCACATGCACATGAACATCACTCCACTAACCATGATGCAACCACATGCACATGAACAGCACTCCACTAACCATGATGCAACCACATGCACATGAACATCACTCCACTTACCATGATGCAACCACATGCACATGAACATCACTCCACTTACCATGATGCAACCACATGCACATGAACATCACTCCACTTACCATGATGCAACCACATGCACATGAACATCACTCCACTAACCATGATGCAACCACATGCACATGAACAGCACTCCACTAACCATGATGCAACCACATGCACATGAACATCACTCCACTAACCATGATGCAACCACATGCACATGAACATCACTCCACTAACCATGATGCAACCACATGCACATGAACATCACTCCACTAACCATGATGCAACCACATGCACATGAACATCACTCCACTAACCATGATGCAACCACATGCACATGAACATCACTCCACTAACCATGATGCAACCACATGCAGATGAACATCACTCCACTAACCATGATGCAACCACATGCACATGAACATCACTCCACTTACCATGATGCAACCACATGCACATGAACATCACTCCACTTACCATGATGCAACCACATGCACATGAACATCACTCCACTTACCATGATGCAACCACATGCACATGAACATCACTCCACTTACCATGATGCAACCACATGCACATGAACATCACTCCACTTACCATGATGCAACCACATGCACATGAACATCACTCCACTTACCATGATGCAACCACATGCACATGAACATCACTCCACTTACCATGATGCAACCACATGCACATGAACATCACTCCACTTACCATGATGCAACCACATGCACATGAACATCACTCCACTTACCATGATGCAACCACATGCACATGAACATCACTCCACTTACCATGATGCAACCACATGCACATGAACATCACTCCACTAACCATGATGCAACCACATGCACATGAACATCACTCCACTTACCATGATGCAACCACATGCACATGAACATCACTCCACTTACCATGATGCAACCACATGCACATGAACATCACTCCACTTACCATGATGCAACCACATGCACATGAACATCACTCCACTTACCATGATGCAACCACATGCACATGAACATCACTCCACTTACCATGATGCAACCACATGCACATGAACATCACTCCACTTACCATGATGCAACCACATGCACATGAACATCACTCCACTTACCATGACGCAACCACATGCACATGAACATCACTCCACTTACCATGATGCAACCACATGCACATGAACATCACTCCACTTACCATGATGCAACCACATGCACATGAACATCACTCCACTTACCATGATGCAACCACATGCACATGAACATCACTCCACTTACCATGATGCAACCACATGCACATGAACATCACTCCACTTACCATGATGCAACCACATGCACATGAACATCACTCCACTTACCATGATGCAACCACATGCACATGAACATCACTCCACTTACCATGATGCAACCACATGCACATGAACATCACTCCACTTACCATGATGCAACCACATGCACATGAACATCACTCCACTTACCATGATGCAACCACATGCACATGAACATCACTCCACTAACCATGATGCAACCACATGCACATGAACAGCACTCCACTAACCATGATGCAACCACATGCACATGAACATCACTCCACTAACCATGATGCAACCACATGCACATGAACATCACTCCACTTACCATGATGCAACTACATGCACATGAACATCACTCCACTTACCATGATGCAACCACATGCACATGAACATCACTCCACTAACCATGATGCAACCACATGCACATGAACAGCACTCCACTAACCATGATGCAACCACATGCACATGAACATCACTCCACTAACCATGATGCAACCACATGCACATGAACATCACTCCACTAACCATGATGCAACCACATGCACATGAACATCACTCCACTAACCATGATGCAACCACATGCACATGAACATCACTCCACTTACCATGATGCAACCACATGCACATGAACATCACTCCACTTACCATGATGCAACCACATGCACATGAACATCACTCCACTTACCATGATGCAACCACATGCACATGAACATCACTCCACTTACCATGATGCAACCACATGCACATGAACATCACTCCACTTACCATGATGCAACCACATGCACATGAACATCACTCCACTTACCATGATGCAACCACATGCACATGAACATCACTCCACTTACCATGATGCAACCACATGCACATGAACAGCACTCCACTAACCATGATGCAACCACATGCACATGAACATCACTCCACTAACCATGATGCAACCACATGCACATGAACATCACTCCACTAACCATGATGCAACCACATGCACATGAACATCACTCCACTAACCATGATGCAACCACATGCACATGAACATCACTCCACTAACCATGATGCAACCACATGCACATGAACATCACTCCACTAACCATGATGCAACCACATGCACATGAACATCACTCCACTAACCATGATGCAACCACATGCACATGAACATCACTCCACTAACCATGATGCAACCACATGCACATGAACATCACTCCACTAACCATGATGCAACCACATGCACATGAACATCACTCCACTAACCATGATGCAACCACATGCACATGAACAGCACTCCACTAACCATGATGCAACCACATGCACATGAACATCACTCCACTAACCATGATGCAACCACATGCACATGAACATCACTCCACTAACCATGATGCAACCACATGCACATGAACATCACTCCACTAACCATGATGCAACCACATGCACATGAACATCACTCCACTAACCATGATGCAACCACATGCACATGAACATCACTCCACTAACCATGATGCAACCACATGCACATGAACATCACTCCACTAACCATGATGCAACCACATGCACATGAACATCACTCCACTAACCATGATGCAACCACATGCACATGAACATCACTCCACTAACCATGATGCAACCACATGCACATGAACATCACTCCACTTACCATGATGCAACCACATGCACATGAACATCACTCCACTTACCATGATGCAACCACATGCACATGAACATCACTCCACTTACCATGATGCAACCACATGCACATGAACATCACTCCACTTACCATGATGCAACCACATGCACATGAACATCACTCCACTTACCATGATGCAACCACATGCACATGAACATCACTCCACTTACCATGATGCAACCACATGCACATGAACATCACTCCACTAACCATGATGCAACCACATGCACATGAACATCACTCCACTAACCATGATGCAACCACATGCACATGAACATCACTCCACTAACCATGATGCAACCACATGCACATGAACATCACTCCACTAACCCTGATGCAACCACATGCACATGAACATCACTCCACTAACCATGATGCAACCACACGCACATGAACATCACTCCACTAACCATGATGCAACCACATGCACATGAACATCACTCCACTAACCATGATGCAACCACATGCACATGAACATCACTCCACTAACCATGATGCAACCACATGCACATGAACATCACTCCACTAACCATGATGCAACCACATGCACATGAACATCACTCCACTAACCATGATGCAACCACATGCACATGAACATCACTCCACTAACCATGATGCAACCACATGCACATGAACATCACTCCACTAACCATGATGCAACCACATGCACATGAACAGCACTCCACTAACCATGATGCAACCACATGCACATGAACATCACTCCACTAACCATGATGCAACCACATGCACATGAACATCACTCCACTAACCATGATGCAACCACATGCACATGAACATCACTCCACTAACCATGATGCAACCACATGCACATGAACATCACTCCACTAACCATGATGCAACCACATGCACATGAACATCACTCCACTAACCATGATGCAACCACATGCACATGAACAGCACTCCACTAACCATGATGCAACCACATGCACATGAACATCACTCCACTAACCATGATGCAACCACATGCACATGAACATCACTCCACTAACCATGATGCAACCACATGCACATGAACATCACTCCACTAACCATGATGCAACCACATGCACATGAGCATCACTCCACTTACCATGATGCAACCACATGCACATGAACATCACTCCACTAACCATGATGCAACCACATGCACATGAACATCACTCCACTAACCATGATGCAACCACATGCACATGAACATCACTCCACTAACCATGATGCAACCACATGCACATGAACATCACTCCACTAACCATGATGCAACAACATGCACATGAACATCACTCCACTAACCATGATGCAACCACATGCACATGAACATCACTCCATGCCCCCATGCGTGGCACGCACCCGAAGGGGTCGCCGACAACGAGGAAGGCGACGTCCTCCTTGGCGGCGAGCTGCAGCAGGTCGCCCACGCGGCTCTCCACCATCTCCCTGTCCGCCACCTGCACCTCCCTCCCGTACACCTCCTCCTGCTCGTCATGGCCGTGACGAGGGGGGGGGTGAGGAGTGGTGAGAGGAGGAAGCAAGAGTGATGAGAAAGAGTGAGGGTCAGCTGTACGGCACCTCGTGGCCAGGGAGGGAGGGAGGACAGGGACGGAGGATACAGGACGGGAGAGATGGGACGAAAGAGGGAGAGAGGGAGGGAGGGTGCGAGGGGGGAGGAATGACTGAACTGCTTGCTTTCACCAAGGCCTGTGAGCCATGGCCTGCCATGGCAGCTGCTCCCTCTGGGCCCCAGCGGACGCAGAAAATGAGAATGGCTTGAGCAGCGGCCACGTGAGCGTGTTCACTCATTCGCTTCACTGTCCACCGCGCCACGCACCAGGTCGACCTCGCTTCTCCGCACTGCACACGTTTACAAGGTGATGCACAGTACACGGGACAACTACTCATTTGAGGCGCCCAGCAGCCCAGCAAGGGCCCCAGCAGTGCGCACCAGTTTGGTTCTATCGACGAGCAGCATGGAGGTGTAGGCTTCGAGGAAGACGTGCTGGCAGCGCCGCACGGCCGCCAGGCCCCTCACAGTGATGTCACTCTCGTCCCACAGCCCCACGCCCACCACGTACAACATTCTGCCACCCCCCCGCCCCGCCCGGACCCCGCTGCTGCAGGTGATGCTGGTGGTGGTGCTGCTGCTGCTGCTGCTGGTGCTGCTGCTGCTGGTGGTGGTGCTGCTGCTGCTGGTGGTGGTGGTGCTGCTGTTGATGCTCTGATGAGAGGCGCGCTTCAGCAGTGGTCAACAAGTCGCAAGCACACTGCGTGTGGCAGGAGCAGCGGGCGCAGTGGAGCCGTGTAGCGGTGACAACTGCAGGCGGCACGTGGGAAGAGGGAGCAGGGCAGAGAGGGCCTTGGCGCGGTGGATGGGACGATCCCAGCAGCAACGCGTGACTTGGGGTGCTTGGACGGAAGGGGAAGCGGAAGGAAAGCGGGCCCACGCGGGGCGCGAGTGGTGAGTGGGCGTGTGGGACGAGGTGGGCGGCGCGGAAGGCGGGGAGGAAGGCAAAGCGGGGAAGTGGGGGTGCGACGGCGGGGGAGCGGGCAGAGACGAGCGTGGGTGGGGCGGCGCGGCGAATGGGACAGCAAGGCAAGGCGAGGCGAGGCTGTGAGCTGCGCGCGGTGGGATCGCACGCACCGTCCGAGTGAGAGAGTGAGTCGCGGCGGGAATGTGGTGTGCGCGGATGCCGAGGCCCGTGATTGCTAGCTGCGGCGGATGAGCCCGATGGGGCTGCGTCTGTGAACGGGTGCCTCTCGGTATATCGACGCCTCGCTCGCGTGCAGTGCGGCCCGCCACACGCGCCGCGATCCGCGACGGTGGTGCCGCAGTTAGGTGCTGCGGAGAGGTTCTCGCTCAGGGGTGTTTTGGCGCTGGACTGCAAGACTGGCCCGAGATTGTGTTGGATCTCGTTCGAATTTTGGCGACAGCTTGGGAAACCTGATCTCGAAGAATCCCGAACAGCTGGCGAAAACGTCAACCCATTCGCCAGTTCACGTTGAGTCCATTTTGTATCGTTTGCGATTACACTGCAACCACTACCAGTTTCTTGCTTCTCCAATTAATTTCTAGCCCTAGTGCGTACACAAAGCAGGATGAACAGCGGCAGCTGAACAAAAGTCCTCCTCTCCATTTATCCGCATTTCGCGCTGTCAGCGTTGAGGGTGTTCGTCGGCGCTAGTAGGCGTTGCATGATCCCATCGGCCTGCCGCCATGGCGGGACATCGCGAGTCCGTGCGGCTCGTCGTGCGTCTCGACCCATTCGCCACCACGCACATCAACTACGCGCACCTTCTTCGACAAGCTTCCCCCGCACAGCCTTCCGCGCCTCTTGTACCGCTTTTTTCCGGGCTCCAGTCGGCGGAAGGCGCGGGGAGCGTTGAAGGTCGCAGCGAGGCCGAAGCGGATCGCGCAGCGGCGACGGGCGACGGCGAGAGGGAGCGAGCGGGAGGCGATGCGCAGGCGGGGAGTGCGACCTCGCTGGTGCGTCTGATTCCGCCATGACGACCGGCGCCGCTGCGCTCGTCGAATGCTCCTTCCATGGCTGCGGCCTCTCGTGCTGCGCGACACACTTCGTATGGATGCGCGACGAAGCCGGGCTTTCGATTCCTCCCATGCTCCGCGTGCTGTCCTGGTTAGACCGCTGCGTTTCTACCAACCCACGTTTTCCTTATTCCCCTGTCTCTTCTCCGTTTCCCGCGTCTCCGCGCCTCCGCGTCGGCGTGCGTGCAGGCGGCGCGCGGCAGGGAGGCCCCGAAGGCGGCGGCGCTGCTGGCTGATCCGCTGCCGGAAGCGAGGAACCGATTCAGCGCCGTCATCGACAAGATCTCGCGCCTCTACGCAGCAAGTCGTCGCTTCCAGGCTTCCTTTGTTGTCGCGTTGTGGCGACCAGTGCACTGTGAAGGGTGTTGTTTCCCACATGATGCCAAACACTGATTGGTCATCGTTGCTCGCTCTCGCCTGCGCGACTCGCATGCCCGTCTGCTCTCCCCTGCTGCTGCGTGCGCTCAGGGCTCCGACAGTGATGATGACGACGGCGACATGCACGATGGGCGCGCCGCAGCAGGGGGAGCAGCCGCAGGAGCACAAGGGGGTGCGGAGGGGCAGCGCGCGGCAGGTGGAGCGCGGGGCGGCGAGGGGGAAAGGGGGGGAGGGGTGGAGGGCGAGGAGGGGTGTGAGGGATGGGAAGAAGGCGGAGGGTGGGAGGAGGAGTACGACACGGCCGACCCCTTCATTGACGACTCCGCCCTCGTGCGCGCTCCCCCCGCCCATGCCCACGCCCATGCCATGCCCAACCCCATGCCCAACCCCATGCCCAACCCCACGCCCACGCTGCACCCTCGCCAACCCCATTCCCCCTAACCCGATGGCGTGTTTTGCTTCACGTCGTGCTTCATCTGATTATCATAGACTATGCTTCATTTCTCATTGTGTGACTCACGTTGGGCGCTGCTGCATGGGTGGAGTGCCATGCATGCATGGGTGGACTGCCATGAATGCATGGGTGGAGTGCCATGCATGCATGGGACATCATTGCACAATCAATCATGTCATCACATGCCATCACATGCCATCACATGGCATGGCATCGTATGGTTGGCAGAAGGAGTATTTTTCCTCCAACCGCAAGGCAAAGCGAGTGGGCTTCTTCGTCAACCGATCCGACTCTCAGCATTCACCCCCCAGGTGCGCCCTCCCTTGATTCTCTCTCCCCTTCCCTTCTTCTCCCTTCCGCCCCCTTTCTCTCCCTTCCCCATCCGTTCCCGCGTTTCTCTCCCGTTCTGCCCATACCGTCCCTTGCCTATGGAGCGTGTGATGTGATGTGTGCCATGGAATGGACGCTTGCTCTCTTTGCCACATGCCCATGTTCGCTGCTGGACAATGGCCATGCTTCCTCCATCCACTGCACTCCCAATCACACGTTTCCTCATGCACCTTCTCTCACCACTCTCGTCCCTCCCATGTGCTCCTCTTGAATTCCTTTTCACCCTTCCGTACCCATCACTCCTACCTCCCCCTGACCACGGCGCACCCAAACCCACCCTGCGCCCCCACCAGTCCTGCCTCGCCTGGCGGGTCGCCATCAGCGCCAGCGCGGGCAGCAGGGGGGGCATCATTGAGAGGCACGCTGCGGGGCGTGAAGCAGGCGGCCAGGGCGGCAGGGGGGGCGGTGGCAGGCAGGGGCGGGCAGGGCAGGGGCGGGCAGGGCAGTGGCGGGCACAAGGCGCAGCGCCTGCCAGCGCTGGGCGTGCGGCGCAGGGGGGCTCTGAAAGGGGGGGTTGGATTGGGGCATGGGGGCCGGGGGTCAGGCGTGGGGCTCATGATGATTGGCATGCGTGGCAGGGGCAGGTGCGGAGGGAGGGGGCGCGGGAGAGGGCAAGGAAGGGGAACGGCGCGTGGTGCTGCCACTGCTAACGCTGGTGGCGCTGGTGGTGGAGCAGATGAGGCGAGCACTGCCCTGGCAGCTGCTGAACCGCATGCCCTCTCACAGCAGCTGTCACAACAGCAGCAGCAGTAGTAGCAGCTGGGCGGTGTGCTGCTGGTGCTGCTGGTTGTGGCAAAGAGGCAGGAGGGGGGGCAGGTGTGCTGAGAGGAGGCAAGAGGGGGAGTTATAGAGGCGAAGATGTGAGACATGCAGCAAAGGATGGTGCTGCTGTGGCTGACCATGTGAGTGGCTGACCGTGTGAGTGGCTGACTGTGTGAGTGGCTGACTGTGTGAGTGTCCCTCTCCTCCCAAGAAATCTTGGTAGAGCCACGTGCATGGCAGTGCCATGTGGTGATGGTAGTGCTGCCTGCATCTTGTAGTGCTGCTGCGTGATGGCATGCCATGGGTCATCACAAGTGTTTCAAGACGGATCTCACATTCTTGATGCGCGCTCAACCATCTCCAATGACTTCTTCTCATTGCATCGCATGCCATGCATGCAACAGCACGCCACCCACTGGCTCTCATGTTTGGGGCTGTCAAGTGCCATGGCAGGGGTGGTGGCATTGGTGTGTAGCACTGCTGCATAGCTGGTGTACTGTGTGCATGGGGTGATGCCCATGTCAATGACGGTGGGTGTGGCGGGAATGAGAAGGTGATGAGGATGGACTTGCATCTCATGGCCCAACAACCCTTCCTCTCCACCAACCCATGCACACCACCCCATTGAGCTCACATAGCGACACAGCTCTCACCACACATGGCACTCCATCTTTGTTTTCCGCTTCACAGGCTTGGCACATGATAGACGGCGCTGTTCTGTATGCAACATGGCAGCCGGGGGTTGTATTGTGGAGTGCCAAGGCCGCTCTGAGTGAGCTGCAGTCTGCGATCCATGGTGGGGCGGAGGGCTCCTCCTTGGCCTCTGCAATGGGGCCGGTGGACCGGTGGTACAGTGCCCTCTGTACAGATGGGATGTGAGAGATGGGATCAGATGATCTTGGAAAGGCTAGAGTAGGGACATTTGAATGATTGTAACATAAATGTGGTTGTTTGGAACGTTGAGGTACGGTAAACGAAGTCTTCACCACTGTTGGAAACAACTGATTTAAGCGCCTCTGTCGTGTCGAAACACCAAGACAGAAGCGAAGCAGATCATATCGAAACATCGGCGAGTCAACCCTCGGAGGTTGAACAACTGCTGGAGGTTACGCGAAAGTCAAAGATCAGCGACCTTTGACCTGACAAATACAGCGCGACAGCAAGGACAAACAACTGACTCGCTACTGAGCAGTTGCCCGAGTCGACACTGTATCGAACCACAACAGCAACAGTAAAACGGTTATTAACCGTATCTCTTCATATTCCTTGTATTCTTATAAAAGCTTGTATCTCTTTGTTATTAATCAATCAACTTTGCCCTCACATACTAGCGCAAGGTGGTTCACAATCCTTTTATTAAACGCTTCCGCTATTACATTGTCCTACCCTTGAATTCTGTCCTGCAAAGATCCTAAGGGCTTTTTTAGCCTAACATGGAATGAGAGCAGTCAGGACAAATTCAGCTACAACACCTACAACATCACAAGACATGGCAACGCAGAAGGAGAGAAGCTCCTCTAACGGCTCTCCCGGCACTACTCCTACTCCACCTCCTGCCTCTGGCCTACAGACAGAGGAGGGTACGGCAACAAGACCAAGAGCAACATCTTCAGAAACTCCAGCAAATCAAGCCGCAGCCTTCGATCCAGACATGATGGAGAAGTTCTTCTCCTTCATGTCCTTCTACGAACAACACCAGCAAGGGGCACCTGCACAGTCAAACAACAGCAACAACAACAACGCAACACCGATGAGCCTCGACGGTTCATCCTACGCACGTGGAAATCAACAGCAACGGCCTACCTTTGCTCCGTACGAGCCCCAGCGTGGCTCCGTCAGCTTTATGCCACACCTGCAGCCCGCATCTGGACAAGAAAAGACATTGGACGCACTTCAAGTTCAGTCGCAGTTCGCGCACGTCTTAAAACTACATACGACGAGGCCTTTCGACGGAAAGGACTTCTTTACCTGGTCATTCGAGTTCGAGCTAATGATGGAAGGTGCGCAGATCCTTGGCTTCTTCGACGGGTCCCTGCCATATCCAACACACGGCACACAGTACGATAAGCAGCAGTACACGTATCAGTCAATGATGGCGTACACAATACTTCTGAGAAATATCACTCCAAGTCAGCAGCAGAACATACGGTCTTACCGGGGATACGGCAACTCTGCAGAGCTCGCGTACAACCACCTGAAAAACCTGTATCAAGCAACAGACAGGGTAAATCAAAGTCGGTTAATGGCGCAACTGACGACAGTCGAAATGAAACCAGGCGAAAAGGGGATGGCGTATATCAGCCGTTGTCGCGAATTGCGCGACAAACTCCTTCGATGCGGAGGGTCGATTTCAGAAGACGCCTTCGTCACAGTCATCATCGGCGGCCTCGGTCCTCAGTGGCGCTCCACCCGCGCCATACTCCGAGCGCATGGAAAGATATCAGAAGCAGCACTCTGCGCCGAAATCCACGCTGAGCAGCAAGATATGGACCTGCAAGAAGAACGACACAAAAGGAAGACATCAGTGCCCGAATTCGCATTCCACACTCAACGGCGCTACAACAACAACAACTACCGGCATCAACCAAAACCAGTACCTCCGTTCTGTCACCTTTGCAAGATGTCAGGGCATCCCCGCACACATTGCCCTAACCGACAACAGTCAGTACCAACGCAGCGGCAGTTTCGGCCTTCAAGCAGTCAAGTTGCCTCAACGCAAGCGAATCCAACCTCTCAAGTACAAGCCTCAACAACATCGACGGGACAACCTGCGCAAGGAACAAGAAACATCGTCAGTTGCATGACACGGCTGACCGATTCCTGCATCACAGAGTCACCACCATATTACTCACCGGAAGAGCAACTCGACAACAGCACGTCTCGCCGCGAGTCACTTCAACCAAATCCGACCTATGCAGCCATCGCTCAAAGCGAGCCATCCGGAAAAGATACGTGGTTCTTGGACAGCTGCTGTGGACAGCATATGTGCTCTTCAGGACGTTTTGTTCAACGTGAACACCAACTTCAACGCGAGGTTGTCATCACCGTCGCCAACAATCAGAACCTGCGCACAAGACGACAAGGCGTAGTGCAACTTGAGTCACGAGAGACAAACGTCATACTGCAGATGTCAAAGGTTTTAATAGCAGAAGGACTCGGTTACAACTTACTGAGTGTCAGTCAACTGATGGCGAAGGGCATCCACCTCGAAGGAAATAGTACCACTCAGGAGTTCAAATTATACCACGGAAAAGGTGGTCTCTACATCGGGAAGGCGGTCCTGAAAAACAACGTCTTCGTCCTCGACTTCGTCCCAGATCTTGGCACCGCTGACAGCGACAGGATCGTCACCTTCACCTCTTGGACACATCCACCGGATCTTGACCCCGACTTCAGTCCAGAAGGCTTCTGGTACTCGCACACCATCCCTGAGGCAGAACGAACGAGAGCATTAGCAACAATTCAACACTCAGCAGCAGAGACAACATCAGCAGCAGCAGAGACAACATCGGCAACAGCAAAGACAACATCGGGAACAGTAAAAACAACGGCAGCAGCAGCAGCAACATCGACACCAATCGCTGGTCCTTCATCTGCATCGGCTCAAATCGACGACACTTCACCGACTCCTGTGCAACAGCTTAACCCAACACCACGAGAAGTACATCGAAGTGCACACTTCACCGCAAGCTTCTGTCAAACATATATGCCTAGTTATATCTAGGCTTAGTTTATGTGTTTATAGTTGTCTAGGCTATAGTGGGTTTAGCCTTAGGGGGTACAAAGTTTCTCTCGACATTCTACTTGTACCCCTTCCCTTTTCCTAGTCAATCATTCTCGCCTAAGATTCTAACATGGTATTAAGAGCAATTAGTCCTAGGACCTAATGCTAATGGGCCCACCACCTACTGCCCTGCTAGCCTAGGCCCCGGCCCGTCGCCCCTTGGCGTCGCCCCTAGCCCCTAGGCTCGGCCCCTTGGCCCCGTCGCCTCGGCCCCGCTGGCCCCGTCGACTTCGTCGCCCGCGCCCGGCCCGTACCTAGCCCGTCGCCCGGCCCATACCTAGCCCGTCGCACGGCCCGTACCTAGCCCGACGCCCGGCCCGTACCTAGCCCGTCGCCCGGCCCGTACCTAGCCCGCGCCCGGCCCCGTCTCCTGCCCGCGCCCGGCCCGTACCTAGCCCGTCGCCCGGCCCGTACCTAGCCCGTCGCCCGGCCCGTACCTAGCCCGTCGCCCGGCCCGTACCTAGCCCGTCGCCCGGCCCCGTCTCCTGCCCGCGCCCGGCCCGTACCTAGCCCGACGCCCGGCCCGTACCTAGCCCGTCGCCCGGCCCGTACCTAGCCTCGCGCCCGGCCCGTACCTGCCCAGCGCTGGGCCCCGTTCCTAGCCCCGCGCCCGGCCCGTACCTCGCCCGCGCCTGGCCCCGTACCTAGCCGGCGCCCGGCCCGTACCAAGCCCGCGCCTGGCCCCGTCCTTCGCCCAGCGCCCGGCCCCGTCTCTTGCCCGCGCCCGGCCCCGTACCTAGCCCCGCGCCCGGCCCCATTCCGCGCCCAGCGCCCGGCCCCGTACCTGCCCAGCGCCCGGCCCCGTACCTGCCTAGCGCCCGGCCCCGTACCTGCCCAGCGCCAGGCCCCGTACCTGCCCAGCGCCCGGCCCCATACCTGCCCAGCGACCGGCCCAGTACCTGCCCAGCGCCTGGCCCCGTACCTGCCCAGCGCCCGGCCCAGTCCCTGCCCAGCGCCTGGCCCCATACCTGCCCAGCGCCCGGCCCAGTCCCTGCTCAGCGCCTGGCCCCGTACCTCCCCAGCGCCCAGCCCCGTACCTGCCCAGCGCCCGGCCCCGTTCCTGCCCAGCGCCCGGCCCCGTACCTGCCCAGCGCCCGGCCCCGTCGCCCCTAGCCATGGCCCCGTCGCCCCTAGCCATGGCCCCTCGCGACCTGCCGCCCCTAACCGCGGCCCCGGTGCCCTGTTGCGCCATGGTGGGTGAGGGGGT